TCTATTTATTTTTTTATGTTGATCTGTGAAACAGGAAATCAAGTGATCCCGATCTAGACCGGAGATCGATTGATCATGTGATCCGGAAAATCTCACCTACATCCTGGATCTGTCGTTAACCATAGTTGAACTAGTTGATTATAATTTGGTTAGTTGATTAAAAAATTTTCAACCCAGTTAGTTGATTTTAACTAATGATTTGGAACACTAGATCTGAGTTCCTAAATCTTGTATTAGTTTCTGAGATTAGGTGAGCATGACTCTCATCTACAAAGATGTAATCTAGATGTATGACTATAGAGTCCTCTGGAAGAAAGTCAGAAAGAGGTTGGTTTTTGAAAACTTTGAAATATTGATGAAATTTTTGGTAATAACTTCTAATTGTTGTTTTGTTGGATCATGATAAGCTGCAACCTCACTTATTTTGTCTCTTTCTGGATAGAGATTGGTGTTGAAGTTCTCTGCAACTATGTTGATAATGTTATCTTTGTCTGTAATGACTAGTTATTTAAAAAAGTTACTCTATTTCCTATGCTTGGGGGAGCATATACATTAGTAGTCTAAAAAGTTTGACTCTCTTATTTGAAACTTGCTGCAATGACTCTACCCTCATGTTCTATTTTAATGGTTTTGAAATTGATATTTCTGTTACCAGTCAAAATTGCTGCTTTGTCAAACTATATTAAATTAAACATCCATTTATGCTACAAAAAATTCCTAGTGTTCTTATTGTTCAAGTTTGTCTTTTGTAATATTAGTTTTTAAAAGAGTTAAAGTCTTTTGTTGTTTCTGTGAGTCATTTAACCCTTTTAATATTGCTAATTTAAATATAGATTTTCTATTCTTAGATTGCTGCATTTTGAGCTCTTTGACAAGACTTTTTATAGAGTGCAGCTCTAGAGTCATGTTTGTTTGTATTCCCTTTTCCCTTTATTTTTTTGTGGGTTACTAAAATGAACTCATTGTTATCATCAGTGACCTGGAAAAGAAGTTGATTTTTCTCTGATGTTTTGCCCTCCATTCTGTTGTAATCTTATTGTCCCCAACATGGGTAAAACGAGGAAGGTTCTTTTCTAAATCTGGATCTTCTGTAGTTTCTAAAACAATGATCTACTGATCCGTTAAGTAAGGGGTTCCTTCAATCAGGAAAGGTTTAATGGAATTGATTTTTCCAATGTCCTCAAAGGCTTCTTTGATAAGTGTTTCTGTTGCCTAATGGAACATTTCTAATTTTGACTGATAGGAATGATTTACAAGTATCTGTTGGGATATAACCCATTGTTACAGGCAGTATAAATCGTGACCACACAAAACGTAACTCAAATGACGATCGGGACCTGGATCGATGCATGATCAATAATCGTGCATACAATGACGATGCTCCCAGATTTTGGCATTCACGATCAACCCAAAATTGGGTGAAACTCGCATATTTGGGCCCTATACAATCGCATGATTCATAGATGGGTGCATCACCGAATCGAGAGATGATAATGAAGTTTCAAAATGGCGGATCTGGGTGGGTTTGTGTTAAAGAAAGAAAAGGCGGGTTAGTAAAAATAGAATGGGTAAAAATAGAAAAGTAGAGAAATAATTTACCCAAATTCAGTGAAACTCCAAATCGTATAGTTGAATCAATGAAAGAGGTGGGAAAAGATCTAAGAGAAAAAGGAAAAGAATAAAATTAGTTGTAGAGAAACAAAATGTATAAAAGAGAAGAGAAAATTTAATAAAGTACTTATCTTTCCATGCATCTGAAATAATAGTAGGAGCAAAAGATCCAGTATTAGTAAAGTCGTTCAATAAATATAAACCATAACCCATAGACAAAACATCAAAAACTTTGGTACCCGCCAAATCGTATTTACGCCTCTATTCAAGCCTTGAAATTGACGTAGTGCAAGAATTCTGGTCTTCTAGCGACAGACTCGCCGTTTTCAAACCCAACACCATGTAAGTTTTATTAAAAATTCAGACTCCCTTTGTTGCATATTCTTTGAGTAAGTCAAAGCTTGCAAATACAATCTCCAATTGTGAACGTGCTCCTTTTTTAAGGTGTTGCTTGATTGCTACAATATCCTTTCCTGCACTCTCATAGAGAGAAGAGATAATTTCGTTGAATGAGTTTAGTAATTGAGATATGTCAATAATAAGTGCGTTATCATTCTTAGACTTAATTTGTTCTCTTGAAGAGAAAGTTGAGTATGTGGCCTGTCCTCTAGTAAGTTTAGAGAAGAGGTTTGCCTATTGCTTTGGGGCAGAAGGTTGAGGTTTCTCATCATCTAGAGTTCAGGTAGAATTGAAATTTTCTGATTGTCTATAGATTATTTTCTGATAGTTGGAGCCCCATGTTTGCGTGGTAGTCACGTGAGGGATCTGCTACAACCGGGTCCTTTACCAACACGTGTTTTGTTTTGATGTTTTGTTTACTTTCTTTGTTTACTTTTAGAGATGTGATTGAAAGGTCCCAAGGGTTCTTCTGCTCAACCAGGTTAGCCCAACTTTCTTGCTTGTTTGTATGAAGAGTGGTATCAGGTTTCTTTAAGATTTCAGGCATATTGTTGATGCTTGAAGCTTCCTCCTCTGGCAGAGGAAGGTTAGCTTTGATGTTTTGATCCTTGACCTTTGCCTTACCAAGGACAGTTTTCTTAACCAGTTCTGTCATTTTGAGTTTTTTGCAAGTTGTCTTTGAAAGTGTAAAATGATAATTATAACTCTTTCCGGTTTACACCCGGAATTTATTAAAAAAACAAAATTTTAACAAAAAACAACCAGGCTCTTTACAAAAACTCCAAAGTCGATAGGGCCAAAGCCCTTATT